TTACTTTGCTCATGAGACCTAGAAAAGTGTTAATGTTCATATTCCTTTCATGAATCATCCATCAAAGTGAAGTTTCCTAGATTGCTCTTAAAATTAGCTATCATAAATAAAACACTTGCTAATGGTTTAGCAAAATTTGCCTCAACAGTTTCAAAAAATTATTAACAACTTGTTTCTTGTGCATAGGCCTTCAGGTGAAAAACAGTTTAAGACAGTTCTTCAAGTACAATTTATAACTAGTCAATAGTAGCATGTGTTTAAAGTTATCAAACATTAGTATTTTGTGGGGTGTAAGACTTTAGGCTTAGATCTCCCAAAGGCACTAACTGGCCTTATGGTTCCTGCCCAGCCCTCGTTGACATTTTGCTTATTCCAGCCGCTATAAGCCAGAAATTTTTAGTTCCAAACACTAGAGGGAAGCCTTGGCACAGGGGAGAGCCACTGCATTGCAAATTGGCTCATAGCCTGCTCTGCTTCTAAAAATAGTCCATCATCCTTTCTGTATCAGCTGTGTGCGGAAAATCTCGCTGTCAAGAACTGAATGTCCAAAAGGAGACAGAGGAGTCCTAAAACTTAATTCGAATAAGGGGAGAGTCCACCGGGCATATCCCTGTGGGGTCTCTCAAATTGCTGGGGGACGCAGCCCCGCTTTTATCCTAATTTCCCGACCGAGGGACGCCCTCTCCTTTTCCCCATTGGCCAAGGTACTCAGAAGTTACAGCCTTCCCAGCCACCTACACCGAACTCCGGCCTCCCGCCATCTGTTCTCACCTGAGCTCACCAACTCCTTTGTCCCCCTTGCTAAAGAATGTGGGGGAATTGCCCTATTTCCCTCCTTTGTAAAGGCCCCCATCTCCTTGCAGATGGCTCTTTTTGTCCCACTCAGCTCATGGCTCCACTCAGTCTCCCCTCCCTTTGTCCTGCTCTTCAGCCAAACTGTGGAGAAATCCCCTTATTGATGAATACAGAAACTTGAGCATTCTGCTCAGCTGTAAAACACATGCTGTATAAACCAGTACAGCAAGATATGTCCAGAATCATTTCAAATACCTTGAGATATTATCTTGAAAAACTGCCAAATCCCTGCCATTTCCAATGAAACTAGAAAGGAAATTGTTCAGAACCACTTAGGGAGTTAAAAAGCACAATCGAAGGCTGTGTGGGAGTAGCTGCACAGGCATTGGCAGGGGGAAAGGGAGGCAAAGAAGAGAAATACGGCAATTTGTGGTAGTCAGCTAAAGTAGCTGTAAGGCTTGCATTGAGAAACTTGCCATTTCCCTATGGTTTTCTCTGTAAAAGAAAGAATTCAAAAGATGGAAGGACAAAGAGAGATTTTTTAGCAAGATAAGTTTTTACTAATGCCACTTTTCATTAAAGTTTCCTGTCAAACAACTTCAAAGACTTCCATACATTGATTATTCCATACTCTGCCCCTCTGAGACTGGTAGAAATTCTAGGAGAATTACATATTTTACTAGGGGGAAACTGAAGACCAGGTCACAAAGGCCCCCTCCACACGCATTTATGTGAATGACTCTGTAGGTACCAAAGTCTGTGGAAACAGCTAGCAGAGAACAGGCTGCAGGGATTTCTTGAACCCCTACCTTGAAGCCACTGGTACATCAGTACACACCTCTGTAAACTGCTGGGGTTGGTCCTCCAACAGTTGCTCCAAGCAGATAACTACAAGTGTGTGTGAATCAACTGTGGGAGGGAATAACTGAATGTAGGGTGTGATTAGAGTGAGTTGCTCTTAATAGTAACAGCTTTGTTCTATTAATAATAGTAATAAAAACTGTACTCGCTGTGAGTTGTATTTCCCCTGACCTGATCCCTTGTCTGAAAAAAGGGTATGCACAGCAACCTGATATAGCAAAGTGGAAGCTCAGTCCTGAGTTTCTGCTAATATCAAAGTGCAGAACTACCCAGCCTTGAGGAAGAGGCCTGACACAGGATCCCGACTTTCTAAGATATGGATATAGGTAAGTTTCCAGAGTGACATTTCTCGAGTGTAACATCCCAGTGAAAATCCAGATGGAGGCGCCACACACCCTAACAATTCATACTGCTGGACGGGATGAACTAAAGAACTGCAAACCCAAACATTAGTCTTCTCAAAGTTGTCTTCTGCATCCCACCTGAGCGCCAAGCTTCTCAACTATGCAGTCCATGAACGCTACTGATGGTGTGCCTTTTCAAGACCTTCCCAGTCACATGACCTCAGTAACAGCTCCTTCTCCAGCAACATTATTGGAACTGATTCAGGTGCTCTAACCAGTCCACAAGCTGACACCTATCCCACCTATCGAAGATGACCCCTCCATCAAAGTGATTCCTGTTTTTTTTCTCAGGATGCTGCCAAAACAGATTATTCCTCATGTTTTGCTGTCTTCTCCATTCCTTATGTGAACTGGAAACTGTCACCTCCACAGGGAAGGATGCCCAGCACCTTCGGCAGCCTACCTAGAAAGAGTCTCTTCTTTAAGGGCCAGGCCTGTTTCCAGCAATCTCCCAAGTTTTTCCCTTCCCTGCCTCAAACTACCTTCCCTGCCTCCACCTGCCAGATGGCGGATCACAGTGCCGTTTTCCAGAGACTCCAGAGAAATTTAAATAGGGTTGTCCTTGCAGCTGATTTTCTGCAAATAATTTACAAAATGAGCTTCGCAAGCATTTCTGCAGCTCCCAGTCCTGATGGGTGTTTTTGATGGAGACAGCAGTGGCTGCTGAGGGGGTTACACTGCAGCACCCTCGATTTAAATGCCTGGCAGTACACACAGTCTGGCATCCCCTGGACTGTGCTCTGGAAATTGAATGCCACCCTTCTACTCAGTTTTGAGATGAACACATCAACAACACATCAGAAACAACATAAGGAAGCAATACCTGACAATTTAAGCAGAAGTTACACACTGAAAAAAAAAGTGAAATAATTCCTTTATAAGAAATGTGCTTTCAAAACACGTATTGTTTAGGCTTGCTTTGCCCTCTTGCGGTAACATCTCTACCTTGCACTTGAAGCAAGTTTTACTCTGGTGGTGTAGCAAGCCATGCGCTTGCTACAGCTGTGTTGAACATTTGGAGAGGTTTTAGCTAGCAGCATTAAATGGTAATCCTGACAGAAGGAAAAGCTGTGCTGAAAGACACAGAGAGACGTTAATTAAATTATATTAATATTATATTCTTCATAACATTGAAGCTGTAATGCTTCAATGAAATAATGCTTCGATGAAAAAAAATGAAAAAATGAAAAAAAAAACATCGGCATTTAAGGCCGATAGATATTTAAAAAAAACAAAAATAAAGATATTAAAAATAATTAAATCAAACTTCGCTACAAGCCGCTACCTCGGGAAGCGCCCCAAGGACCGCGGCAACCGC